GCATCCCTCCAATTTCTGCCTCCCTTACCACTCAGTATTCACCCAAACATGGCTCTATCTCTGTGTCTCTTCTTTTCTTCTAATAAGGAAAACCAGTCACTGGATTTAGGGCCCATTCTAACTGAAAATTATTTCATCTTAACTTGATTATATTTGCAAGGCTTGTTTCTAAGTAAGGTCACACTCATAGGTATTAGGGGTTAGGACTTCAACATATCTTTTTTGGGGCGTGAGGGGACAAAAGTCAACCCACAGTAAGGACAAAGTGAAATAAAGCAGATGAAGGGCTTGGTGCATTGTCTGGAACACAGTAAGCATTCAACAGGTTGCCTGGGTTCAAGTACTGACACTATCGCTACCTGTGCACCCTTAGGCAAGTTTCTTAATGTCTTTGGGCCTCAGTTTCCTCAGTAAACAGCACCTCCCTTATTGGACTATTGAGTGGTTTTCAATAAAATCACACACGCAAAGCACTCGGAGGAATACCTGGCACCTAGCAAGAACTAAAAATGTTAACGAGTGTTATTATAATTCTATCCAACTCTAGCCCTCTCATATCTTTATCTTTCAGATGGAAGAGTTTAAAAGTTTAGAAATAACAGTAATGAGGGTGTCATCTTCAAAAAATTCAAAGAAAGATATGTAATTCCTCTGCTTGATCCTCCTTCCTCCAGAAAAAAAAAATATACATAATTGTTTTGACTCAAGAAGCATCACGGCTCCAGTAATATTTAAGGTAGGTGACTTTGCTTTCCACAGGCACTTCGGAGAAGTGCCCCTGGTTATAAGCAGGGGTGTGGAATCACACTCCTTGGTCACACCTGGGCATGGTGTCACACTCCTGGATGACACGTGACCACCTGTGGTCCCAAGGCAGAGGGCTTTTGTCCTGGGCCTGCCAAATTTCCTGGCCCTATGAGCTACAGATTCCACCATGAACTGAGTCGTCCAGCACTTTATGAATCTCTTGGGGGGTAATAAGGGCTACCTCAGTAGACCAGAAACTTAATATTACATTTTCTCTAGAGTGAGAAATATTACTTTACAAGTTGAAGACTTCCAGATGGGATCTTTTGCATTCTTCCAAGAGGTGACATGGCACTGGGCCATCGTGGGCAGTGAATGAATACTTTTTAGTTGGTGAACTGGTACAGAAACATACCCCAAATTACATTAATGCATACTTTTAACCATCAAGCAAATATTTTCAAGGTCAGAAAACTAAGTCAGACGATTTCTTTAAATAAACTTAAATCTTGGAATTAGAACTATGCATTGCCTTCCCCTGCCTGGTAGGCATGTAAAGGGTAATTGTTTTGATTATGAGGAAATCAACTAAGACAGCCTTTATAAACGAAATTACTTACAATGTACAGTCAGGTAGTTCAAATGTGTGTGTATATTCCTATTATGACTGCCTGTTTTTATACTCAGAGGTATTAAACTTTAGAAAAAGACACAGTAGAATATACTTATTGTAGTAAAAGAAAATAAGTTGAAAATGTATTAGACCTTTCTATCAGAAACAACATATTCCCCATTCTCAAATAAGCATATTAAATATGTAGGGCACTCTGTTTTCATATTAATGTTCTATGTATTAAATACATTCATATTGTTATGCAACCATTACCACCATCCATCTCCAGAACTTTTTGCATCTTGAAAATGGAAACACTGTACCCATTAAACAGTAACTCACCATTTCCCCTCCCTGACCTGTCCCTTGCAATCACTATTCTATTTTCTGTCTCTATGATTTTGACTATTTTGAGGACCTTCTATAAATGGAATCTTATAGCATTTATCTTTTTGCCTCCTCCTTTTTCTCTACCTTTCCCAACTCCATTTAATCTACTTCAAACATGATCTTTTCATGGAAGAGGTAATTTTTTTTTACCCTCTTCCTTACCCTTTCCCTCTGGGGAAAAATTTTAAATCCTGCTCTGCCTCCCTTTTCCCTTCTTCATTCCATTTATAAGCCTCCCATTAAAAAAGAAGAAGAAAAAAAATTTACTGGGATAATAATTTTCTGATTCTTTCATATAGGTATGAGTTTTGAAATATAATTAACCATAATAAAAGAACTACAGATGCTAACATCTAAAATGTCTGAAATGGCCCAAAGTTATTTTCCAAATCTCCATAAAAGTTTAAATTTAATGCTCTACTCATCTTAATTAAAATTATTTCCCCTTAACAAGAATTGTTTTTAACTCGCTTGTATTGCCTTTTTTCTTAGAGGCTGATTTCTCAGTATTCTAAAAATGGCGTCTTTCTCCTTATTCCATGAGAAGTGTGTAGATTTAAACTATGTTATGGGTTAAAGAGGTTTTTGAGGACTAGTGTCAAATTACAATGAACCAAATCACCACATTTAATCCTGTTTCTCCAGGAAAGTGTTCTAAGTTCCACACAGTTCCTGAGAATTGAACTGCTGGAATACAAGCCATTTATAAACTGGAGACTGAGTGAGTGTTATACACTTCCCATAGATTTTAATTAGCAATACAGAGCTGAAAGCTGTTGACCAACTCGATGCCACAGGACACACAGTGAACAATAAAAGAAGCAGACAACCAAGTCACAGTAGCCAGCATATCTTCCAGACTCCCTGCTGGAGTATATGGCCAACAGAGTTCAAGACCCAGCTAGTCAATACGCTGAACCTATAGATTCTATAAACACTCCATGACTTCAAACATCCACATAATTTTTGATGCATTTTCTTCCATTGTGTGTTGAAGAAACGTATGTTTCACTATGCACGTAACAGATTTTGAAAATCCCATGGCGAGCACACTGAAGTTGAAAAAGGTTTCCAAGAAAACAAGCCAGAGCCACAGAAGTAAGCCTGGAGCAGAAGCCAACCAGCTAACTATATTATTCAGCAGTAAGCTACTTACAGAAGGATATCAGAAATCGTTACAGAGCTGCAAAACAGAGGGTTAAAGAAACTCCCCACCCCTGCATAAAATGCCAATTTAAAGGTAACACATTAGCTGAGGGTCCAATGAGTCCCAGAGCTGGGAATGTTCATCTATGAAGCTCTAATCTGAGCAGGGAAGTGCAAATAGTGATTGAGATCAAGTTCCTATCAGGGCAATAGACACACTAACCAGCAGCCTCCTTTTTTCTTCCCAAATGTCTGTGTGAGACTGGAGGCAGCCTGCCTTGCTTTGGAGATAAATCTCTTTGCAATTAATAGAGAAGGAAGAAAGTGGCTTTCATAGACTTTTGTTTGTGGCCTCACGTTTCAGGCCAAGCCATTTGTCACATAGAGCATTAACTCCCTCTCCACACTCTTTGAACACTGACAGCCACATCGACATTGTTTGGCACTTAACTCTCTGCAGACTCATATTAGTCTTTAAATTCTTTTTTTTTAAATTTTTTTTATTGTTAGTTTCAGGTGTACAGAACAATGCAATAGTTATCCTTTTCACCCTCACAGAGTAACAACCCCCCTCCCCCCATGTATTGCCCTCCCACCCCCGATATCATGCTTATCTATTACAATTCCATTGATTCCATTGATGCATGTAAATCTGGCCTCCTCATTAAGATGATAAACAACCTAAAGGCAAGTAAATAGACTCACTTCATTAGGATCACCCCTACCACCTACACACTGCTGGGTACAGAGTGGGTATCTGATAAACACATGCTGATTAACTCACAGGATGAGGGCCTCACATTGAGTCGCAAGCACTGAAGCAATGTGAAAGCCACATGCCAATTGCAGCCCAGCTTCAGGAGGAGTGCTAATGGAGAACGGAAGCTTGCTGGTCACCGGGAGCCACAGCAGAGTACAGAAATCTTGAATCCTGTGCACCGGGGAAACTGCTTCCCACCTAGAGACCATGAGCTCCTTAAGGGCAGGCACTATGCTTTGTCCCTACCCAGCACCTAAAACCCAGTAGAGGCTCAAAAAGCATACGCTGAACGAATGAAAAACATATGAAACCAAGTATCTCCCCTTTAGTCTCTTGGATTAGTGGTTCCACAGCTTTTGTTTTTCTCCACTCATCATTTGTAACCAATCCACAGCAGTTAAAGTGGCTCCAGAAAACAAACCAACATGGCACCCACGTGGCACACAGGGAGGTATGTACCTCCTCTCGGCCTGCTCAGGGTGTGTGTCGGGGCGGGTAAGAGGAGGTGGAAGATCAAAAAGGAAGGTCACTGGCCTGCTAGCCATGGGTCTGGGGCTTGCTGGGGAGGAACAAAAGCTGCTTCCCTTGAGAGAAATGGCTGGATGTCAGATCGCACTCTTGGCAGCCCCCAGGCAGTGGAATGCTGCTCTATGTGGTCCTCGTCTGGTTGGCAGTTTCCTGCTAGGGAAGGCTGCCAAGCAGGTTGTGACAGCTGTGCAGTGTGCAAATCTCCAAGGTTCTTTGGTGCACTGACATTTCTGACCTGCCTGTCTGCGACTCGTGGGAAATAGCCGAGAAGCTCCGATGCTGAGGGACCCATTTTCCACTGGCACTCATTTTTCAGCAGAATGCCTGTCTATCTTGTCTTTTAAGAGGGAAATCACTGGAGGATGGCCTGTAGCTTTTCTGGTCAACATGAATCTACTGAATCTGTGTAGGAAGGAGAATGACATTTCACTCTGTTCCCAGCCACCGTCGGTTTTCACTGTGGTCACGTGACTACACTTGTTTATGAGTATCTTATCACAGTAATTGACACCTGTCATGGACTACCACTAGGAGAAAGCACCTGTCTGAACAATTAAAAAAAAATTAAAGATAGCTTTTTAACCATTCAGTTCTTTTGGAAAAAAATTTCAAAATCTTAATGCTTATTATTTGGAATGTTTACAATTGAAGGGATTTTGATAAAGGGCTCCCTTTTTATAGTCTCTGAAAGCAGCTACTTTGATCTAAAGTTGCTGATAAGCAAACACAATGTTTTATCAGGGGAATTATAAAAGTTAACTTAGATTCTTTTCTGCGCTCAAAGGTGAAAAGTTAAACATAAAATTTCAGACATACCTTTCAGCATCATTCGCCCAGTGGATCCTCCAAAAGTACTGAGAAGGCCACTTCTGGCTCCTAAAGATGTGGTTGCTTCCAGGAGAGAACCGGTGATGTACTGAGATATAGAAGTCCTTTGGAGGGTGGCACGATACTCACACACGGTATCTCGGACACATTGCTTTAAGCAGGGACCAACGTTAATCCTTTCATGGGCTGTCTCAGAGACTGGGAGCTTTGTGAAGAAATGGAGAAGAGATCCAATTGTATCTTCTGTTTTTTCTCCCCTTCTCACTGCATTGTAGATCTGTGAATAGCACAAAGTACAGGAAGTATTAATCTAGTTTCTTAGAAAAGCAAATTTACTTGTTGACAAAATGCCAAGATGACTTATTAAGAAAGAAGTCTCAGTCACTCTAAGCACAAACACTTGAGCACCGGACTCATGTATTAACCTGAACATTCTACAGACACCATTTATTTGGAAAAGCTATGTGTAGTTATGAAATAGGCCATTCAAACAACCCTGCTATCAAACAGAGCACTTACAAGTGGTACCAACCAAAAATATATTCAGCTCAAATTTCTTCTCCTTCTCCTCTTCAGCAGAGCAAAGCTCTTTTACAGAGGGACAAAGGCAAACCTTTCCTTTTTATCCCTTTGGACTCTCCTGAGTGTCTGTCCCAGGTCTGTCTGCCTCCAAGGAATACTTCAACCTGAAATTCATGAGGAGCCTTTCCTCCATGCTCAAACAGAAGTGAGGATGAGAGGATCATGGGGAAGAAGAATTTCTATATTTCTCTCTTGGGCGTAATCCTTCAATCCATCAGCTTGGATCAAAGTCTTTGGATTCTTTTCCCTCTTCCTCCTCCCTTACCTCCCACATCCAATGAGATGACAGGTTCTGCCCACTCTTCCTGTTCTGTCTCTGTCACTATCCTGATTTCCTCTCCCCTTTATAACCTGATCACCAAGAATTCTCTCCAGGACATTGGACTATTAGAACAGGTTCCCAACCATAATTCCAATCCATTCCAAAGCAATCATTTAACATGCATTTATATAGATCCTGCTCTGTGCGAGGCACTGTGTTGAAGGATGTGGGGCATGGGCAAAGAGTAATACACATTTCTTGTGCTGCAGGATTTCACAACCTGACTTAGAAGGTGAGGCTTGAAAATTATGAGGTTTGACATTATTGCATGGAAGTTTGGGGTTTTGTCAAGGTCTCTGGAAAGCCAGAGGCTTCTGGGTAGTGTATAAACAACAAGTAAGAAATATAACATGGGGTGAGTTCATCTAGGTTTCTGATGGTGGAATAAAGGTTGACGACACTGCGCTGCTTGCATCAAGCCACCGTGAGCACCTTGCCTTGTTATTCATTCATCCAATCAGCAAATAGTCATTATGTGATTATTATATACCAGTTACGTGTCAAGCCTGGGTAAATAAGGCAGCTTCTCCCCTCAAAGAGTTCACAGTCTAGTAATAAGCAAAAGAGCTCATAGTAGGTAGGAATGGAAGTCACCCCCTCTGGTGACATCAATGAGTGGTCAGGGAAGAGAAGACCTCCTATGCCCACCAGGCTATGTGTGTGTCCCATGAGACTGCACACTCCAAATCTCACCTTAACCAGGGCCCACGGGCACTCAAGGGGACATCTGCTGATCTGTGCTAGATCCTTAGGAGACCCTAGAATGTACCTAGGACCTCCCTGATATTCAAACTATGCTGGCCCTAACTAGATTTCTACTCTGCCTTCCTCTGCCTACTGGTATATACTTGGCACTTGAAAGCAGAGTGTAAATTCTTTGGCTTTCATTCTCTGTCATTAAATTTCTGGTGGTCAGTATGGCCATGGAGATGGTATGCTGGGACAGAAAGACCTCAGGCTTTGGTGTCAGGAATATGGGGTTGTACACCTGGCTCTGTCTTGACCGGCTACAGGGCTGGTCGTGAGCAGGAGCAAGCTGACTTGACTGTTTAGAGACAGCTTCCTCCTCTGTAAAATGGGGATACTAAGACCCCTTCTTAGGGGTGCTGTGGGATTCACCAAGACAATAAAGTACTAGGCCTGGTATCAAGAAGTGGTGCCAATTAGAATTGGGCAAGAAGAGAATGGAGTTGTCTAGCCTCAAGGAACAGCAGATGGTTATATAACAACAAAGCATAGTTTATGAATTCACCTGATGGGGTTGTACCCTTGCTCTTACAAGCTGCTGGATAATATCATCTTCACCTTATTTGGGTGTATTGTGAGGGGTAGAGAGCTGCAGAGCTCAGGACATGCTTTTCTTCTCTCATCTCTGAATCATACAGGCAATCTCCAACATATTGTCTCAAAGGAGTCCTTCAGAAGTAAATGTTCTAGAAGTTCAGGGAAAAGAACCCACTGTGAAGTCTGACAGCCAAAGAAGGCTTCAGAGGGAAAACATGTTTGAGCTGTGTCTTGGAAAACAGGCACGGCTCTCACTGCTGCAGCTGGGGGAGGCAACTCACATTGTAAGCAAGGGTGAAGAGACTAGAAAATGAATGTGTCCTAAGGGTGTTGAGTAGAGCAGGGCGTTTAGAGCAGACAAGAAATCAGAAAGATCAGAGGGTCTGATAAAGGAGAGCTTTGAATGTCAAGCAAAGAGGTTTAATCCATAGAAGTGGGGAAGTCTGCACTTTTTTTTTTGAGTCTGTTTGTTTATTTTTAGCAGAGGAGTCATGCAAAACAAAGTTTAACTTTACAAAGATTAACATGCTCACAGTTCTTAGTTACTAGTGAGTAGATCTACGTTCTTTCCTTGCCAAGCTCCTCCTTTGGCTCAGATGCCCCCACTCATAATGTTCTGTGTTCCAGTTTCCACATCACGCCTTCAGATGCCTAATGTCTGAAGTCCCTTACCCAGCTTTCCCAAAGGGTTGTCCTCAACTCATTAGATCTAGAGAGACTGCATGACCTAAGGACTCCTTGATCCTGTAAGTTTGAAAAACTCAATATGTAGTTCTCCTTTTGAAGTTTTACATTCCATATTAGAATATCAAAGACAATTAAAAAATTCAGAGTAAAGAAATCTATTTTATTTTGCTTAACTGAGTATTTGAGTATTACTCATGTCATGACCATGGATTTTTTTTTTTTAAGAACACACAGCCTGTGAATGTAGTGTTGTACCACATAATTTGCTCTAATCAAATGGCCTTTTCTTAGTCTCCTTTCCTTGGGCTCTGGAATCTCTGAAATAGACAATTACCCATCTTTCTTGACGTTCTGCCTCACTTATCGTCTCACTGCTCCATCTCTGCCTTATTCTGTGGGCCTTCCAGACAGTTCCTCCTTGGGCCTTCCAGACAGTTGTAATCCAATAGAAAGTTGCCAACAAGTGCCTAATGTAGGGGGTCACAAATTGGCTGGCCATGGGTCAGATTTACCCCAAAAGAGCTGTTTCATCTGACACATAGTGTTTTAAAATCAGGAAAGTTTACATGCACATTGAAGTTACTGCATCTCCTGAGAAATGGAATAATCTGGCAACACAGAGCATTCCCATATGTGGTCAAATGGTTACACCTTAGACGGGGCATGAGTTCTCCAGTTAGCACCATTCCCCACCACTCTCTAGTGATCATACCTGGCCAATGTCTAGTCACCATCAGTATATGTGTTTGTGACCCCTGCCTTAATAGGATCCAAACATGGCTGTAAATACATACAATAAACACTGAGCCCCTCCACTGTGTCGTCTGCATGCTCTTTCCTGTGCTAGTTGCCAAGGATACAGAGAGACAGCCATGGTCTCTGCTGGTAAGGGACATTGCAGCTCACTTCCAACATATATAAATGCTATTAAGTGATCATTCAGCATTGCTATCAGCCACTTGTTTCCAAGTCTTCAAACGTGTCTGAAGAAACAAAAGATGAAGAGCTCTAAGAATAAAACTGAGCTGCCATCACCATTGTTAACACCCAATCCACTAAGAACCAGAAGAAGATCAACAAGTTCTACCAAGATCTGGACTGATGCATGTTAGTCATGCAAATACCAGCAGAGCTGAATTCAAGGCACTTGCTGGACAAATGTTTAAATGTGGATGAAGTGGTGGTAGATATGGCAGTGCTCAGGGAACATGTTAAAATAGGGCTATGACCTCTTATTAGATCATCTACTTTAAAAAAAAAAAGGAAGCAATCATGGAAAAGCCCACTTATATAGAGTGGGGAGAGGGGTCAGTATAGAAAGTCATTATGAGTGTGGCTCTAGAGTATTGGTTTGAATCCTAGCTCCCCTGCTTCACAACTGTGTGACCTTGGATAATTTAGTTGGCCATTCTGTGCCTCAGTTTCCTTTTCTCCAATATGGGGTTAGAATAGTTTCTGCCTCAAAAAGTTGTGGTAAGAATTACAAGCTTTAATAAACATAATAGGATTTGAACAGTACCTGCGACTTAGTAAATGCTCAAAAAGTATTAGTTTTTATGATGATGATGACAATGATGATTGTCATAGGCTACAAAAATAGCCATAAATTATTTCCTTCACTTAAGAGGTATGATCAAATAATATGAATGTTTAAATTTAAAAAATGTATTACAGTAAAAGACACATTATCATTAACCCCCCCTTAAAATACTCCTCCTCCCTTTGAACACACTTATCCCATCATTCTTACCACTTTCTGAAGCAGTTTTGGAAGTCCTCTTTCATGAGTGTCTTTAGTTGCAGTTGTCATGGCTGCCTCGATGTCCTGAATCATTTTGACTTTGGGGAAGAGCCAGAAGTCACACAGTGTCAAATCCGGTGAATAAGGTGGATGAGTACATACCGTAATGTTTTTATTTGACAGGAAGGGCCATACCAGAAGCGATGTGTGACACGGAACCTTGTCATGATGGAGGATGATTTATGGCACACTTTAAAACACACCGTCTCTCAACCATAGCTCACACCCAACTGACTGCACCGAACAAGTTGAAATTTGTCACACACTCTTATTAAAGTTTGACATGCTGCTTCCCATACTGAAGATCTCTGCCTTTCTGTTGGATGGCACTCGGCAGCAGCATTCATTGTATTTTGTGATCACAACAGAAAGGCTCCACGTCACACATATCGCTTCTGGTATGGCAATGTCTGTCAAATAAAAACATTACAGTGTGTCCTCATCCACCTTATTCACTGGATCTGGCATCGTGTGACTTCTGGCTCTTCCCCAAAGTCAAAATGACCATGAAAGGTAAACGTTTTGAACTGATTCAGGACATCGAGGCAGCCATGACAGTGCAACTAAACACACTCATGAAAGAGGACTTCCAGAACTGCTTCAGAAAG